AGCAGGTAGAGTCGGCTCTGGCCCTTCTTGAAGCGGGCGTCTGTGTTATGAGTCCAGTCCAGTTTGTGGTTCAGATGAACACCCAGGTACCTGTAAGAGTCCACTCTCTCAATGTTCCTTCCCTGGATGTTCACTGGGGCTGGAGCGGCAGAGTGACATCTGCGGAAATCCACCACCATCTCCTTGGTCTTCCCTGCGTTGATGAGGAGGTGGTTCCGCTGACACCAGTCCACAAAGTCCTGTATAACTCCTCTGTACTCTGTATCATCGTCCTCGGAGCTGAGTCCGATGATGGCAGAGTCGTCAGAGAACTTCTGTAGAACACAACCGTCCGTGTTGTGTCTGAAGTCCGCAGTGTAGAGGGTGAAGAAGAACAGCGCGAGAACAGTACCCTGGGGGGCCCCCACACTGCAGGTCAGGACCTCAGACACAAAGTCCCTGGTTCTCACAAACTGGGGTCTGTCTGTGAGGTAGTCCAGGATCCACTGGGACAGGTCGTGGTCCATTCCAGTTGTCTCCATCTTGTCCCTGAGAAACCTCGGCTGGATGGTGTTGAAGGCACTGGAGAAATCGAAGAAGAGGATCCTCACAGTGGAGCCGGGTTTCTCTTGGTGGGACCGCGAGCGGTGGAGGAGGGAGATGATGGCGTCCTCAACTCCGATGCCCGGCCTGTACGCGAACTGCAGCGGATCCATTGCTGGGCTCAGGGTGGAGCACAGATGTCCCAGGACCAGTCTCTCCAGTGTCTTCATGCAGTGGGATGTTAGAGCCACCGGCTTGAAGTCGCTGAAGTCTTTGGCCCGTGGTGTCTTGGGCACTGGTACCACGCAAGAGGTCTTCCAGAGCTATACCGACCTCAGCCTGAGGCTCAGGTTGAAGACTCGCTCCATCACTCCACAGAGTTCATCTGCACAGGAGCGAAGGAGCCTGGAGCTGATGTTATCTGGTCCTGGTGCCTTTCTGGTCTTTATAACCTCATCTCTGACCTCACCTGAGCAGCAGTGAATGACAGAGGGGTGCCGGGGGGCTGGGTGGAGTGGGTGCTGAGTAGAGAGGACGGGGGCTCATTGGTGGGGGGGGGGGGGTGTGAGTGTCTCTGGTTTACTCAGACCCAATGCCTCTAGTATTAACAAATAATCAAATTTCAAAACTCTTCAGTCTTGGCAGATCTACTCGCTCATTAGCAATAAGACAATCGCCAGATATCAGAGGCATCACTATTGGGGACACGGAACATAATTTATTCCTTTTTTGCGTCATATTATTTTTTATCAAGCTTGGACAGTTCCGTGAAATTTCTCAATAAACTATTAAATTTGTTTGGCCCTTTCTCAGGTTATAAAATAAATACTACTAAATCTCAGTTGCTTCTATTAAATCAGTCGGAAAGACTATCCCCCCTAGCCTGGCCTTAGCCATCGGTACACTCCGGTCAATCATCATTTCACTGCATGGAACGTCGTTGTATATATACTGCTACTTTCTTTTTAAATAAATATAAAATTATACATTGTATTAACTACAATTCCTTATTTCATTATCTACATGAATACAATGATTACAATAACACAATAGAATAACAGCTCTTTATTAATTCATGGATCAGTAGGACCACATTACAACAAAACATTGCAAAATGTGGAATAACAAGTGGCATTGTCCAGTATTTTAAGAACAACGGCTAGGAAGCACAGGTTGTGCCGATTGACAAATGGGTTATTTACAATTTTAGTTGGAGCCATTTCTTTGGCTGGAATATTATGCCCAAAATCACCACATTGTTACTACTCTCACATTAAGACCTAGGTTGAAGGGTTTCCTCAGGAACTGGGAGATAAGAAAGTGTATGTGTACTTCTTGATCTCGTCGTACAGGACCAACACACAGGCACCACCCATGCCTCTGATCACGTTGGACCAGGCGCCCAACGTGATCATCCTTCATGATCTTCCTCCAGCAGTCCATTGTGACCGTGTACATGATGTCAGCTATGGGAATATAGATGCTTATCAGTCGACAGTATTCATTTGTTATGACAGCCAGCCAGACATAAAATCAGTTTATCGTAGTTTTTCCATTTTAGTGTCCAATTTTGAATGTCGTCGTTTTTAATACTTTTGGGTATTGAAATATTTCTTCAATAACAGTAATATTCCGAGAATACATTATTTTGGATGTGATCTCTATGCCCAAGTAATTTGATTTTGATGAAATTAGGTGGTTCTGTAATTAGAAACCTCCAAACATGGTACATGAGGCAACACATTTTTTCATTAACGATAAGGATTCTGTTTGTGGAACTTTTTCCAGGCTAACTGTAACGATTTGCAGAGAAAAATCAGGTCCAGGCACTCATCATTTGCAAAAGTAGATGGCTTTATTTATGGGCCAGAAACATTAAAAAGCACACCAACGCGTGTCGGCTTGCGCCTTCGTCAGGGTGTGTGTAGAGACAAACAGTAAACCAATTTATAATGTCTGACTGCAGGTGTGCAGCCAGGACATTGAGACACATGCTGTCATAGTCCTTTTGGACACAAGGGGGAGACATTTCGTCTTCACAGTATAGTGGCAACAAGAAAAAACATAGACAAACAAAATTATTATAAAAAACAAGAGAGGTCCAGATCATCATTCAGGCCAGGGTATTTTGTAGCACTAAGAGCATGGATCCAATATGCTTCTCTTTGCCTTAGGCGTAAGATTTTATCACCACCCCTGGCATTTAGAGTGATAACCTCAATTCCTGACACCTTTAGGGTGGAGTCATGGCTATGATGGACATCCATATAATGTCTGGCCATAGGATAATTTGGGTTATTGGAGCGAATGGCATATCTGTGTTCAGCCACTCTATCCCTCAGCCTCCTTTTAGTGAGGCCCACGTAGAAGCACCCACAGAGACATTCAAGGCGATACACTACATGGGTGGTGTTACAGTTGACAAAACCATTTATAGAATACATCCTATTAGAAGCCAGATCCATAAAAGTGTCAGTCTTCACCATGTTCTCACAGTATCTACAATGGCCACAGCAAAAGTTCCCTTTTGGGCGGGAGAGCCATGTGGTGGGTTTAGTAGATGGGAGATAGCTCCTCACAAGCTTGTCTTTAATGGTTGGGGCTCTTCTGAAGCTGACTCCTGGAGGCTCAGGGAAAACCTTTCTCAAAAGAGGATCACTCACAATAATATCCCAGTTTCTTTGTATAATTCGTTTAACATGGGTAGCCTCTTTACTGTAACTTGTGACAAAAAAGGGCTTCTGCGTTTGCTCCTGTCTAGGATTAGGAGTGAGCAAGTCAGTCCTCTTCAATGACAAGGCTCTAGTATGAGCTTGAGACAGCAGCTCCTGAGAATATCCCCTTTGGGTGAAACGTGCTCGCATGTCAATAGACTGACTGACAAAATCTTGGTCAGAGTCACATATGCGTCTAAGTCTTTGTATCTGACCGTTAGGGATATTTTCAATTAACCAAGGAGGATGGAAACTCTCTGCATGCAAAATTGTATTACGGTCTGTTGGTTTACGAAATATTGACGTATGTAGGTTACCATGGTCATCTTTAGTAATATTTAGATCAAGAAAATGTACACTCTTACTGTCATATTCTAAATTTAGTTTAAGGTTGGCATTGAGACTGTTAACATAAAGATGGAAAGCCTTCAGTTCACTTTCTGACCCTAACTGTAACGATTTGTTGTAATATTTGTTCTGTTTTTTTTTTACTATTTTTGTATTTGATGTATTTTTACTGTGCAGCGCTTTGGGCAGCAATTGTTGTTGTAAATGCGCTATATAAATAAACTTGACAATGACATTGACACTGACATTCAGCATTAACATAAAGCAAAAAGAAAGTATTACCCACAATCCTGGAACAAAAGTCAAATTCTAGACCTCTCTCATGGATTAGCACATGGCCTATATTTCACGAGAAATTAAAAGTGATGGATTTACGTTTTGACAAACCATAACACGGCACAGAAAAAAATATCCCAGGTTAAAGTGCAATTTGGTGTCAACGCCATATTCAAGAGACCATACCTATGTATTTGAACTGATTCTGTTGTAAAAGTGGATTTCATACAGAAAACCACTAGAAACCCTTAAAACAGGCCAGAAACATCATGAATTACATCCTGGCTCTAAACAACTGTGATTCTAATAATTGTATTGACAGGACGTACGATGTATGTATGTGTTATAACCAGCAGAGAGCGCTGTCGGACCAAAAAATAGGCACAGAGGGACCATCTTAACACAGTATTTTAATTCTTATTTCAACAATGTTTTCATTTAATTAAAATATAATATATTCTTATACACCATACATTTAAAGTACCCACAAACAAAAGTTTCACCAATTTGAATGTAAGGCACTGAGTCTTTTGTCCAAATAGTGACCTGAGATTTACTTTAGCTGACTTTTTTCTCAATATCTCATTGTGTAAACAAGAATAAACCCCCATCTACCGTCAATGGATACAACACAGATATTACTTTGGTGAGCTTTTGAGAATATTATATCTCCTCTTGTATCTCCTTTCGATTTTGTAAGAAGCCCCCGCCTCCCAACCCCTCTTTTATTAATTCTTGCCCATAAAAAAATCCCTTTATGCATAGACAAACACGCACAGTTTTTTTTTCTCTCCTTGACCTTGAGTAATATTTTTTTTAAATTGTACAATGAAAAATGTATGATTGTTTGGTTTAAAACGTCTCTACTCCAGGTCGTTCGTGGCTTTATGATTATTTATTTGACGTCACACATTTCACTGATTTGAAAGCATTGCTCATTATACATTAACTATTTGCTTGACAATGCACATTATTTGCTACCTTTGGTGAAAAAGTTTATGCTTGAAATAAGGTGTTGAATAAAGTCAAATAAAGTTCTATCATTTTGAAGTGTTTAGTAGGTGTGCACGTCTGAATACAGGTGAATTGCTTGCTTTGGTGAGAAGACAACATGAAGCAGCTTGGGACAGGGTGCGCTGCTCAGTACAAGTCCTGGTCATAGTCCGGCTCCAGCAGCTGGTGCATCTCCGAGATGCTGTTGGCCAAATATGACGACAAGTCTTCTGCAAAACAGAGCTAACCAGTCAGAGACAAGCAGCGCACCACAGAACAACTGCAGGGGATCACAGGCTCATCCACTAATCAGTACGGTATACGATGCACAAATACATCTGATTTTATTTATCACACGGTATTCATCATGTAGTCTGAAATATGTAACAAACACTATTCTGCACAAAAATAATCAAAATAGGGAGAAGGTCAACTATTTTTGAACACCAAACAAATACATAACACGACAAGAACTTGGCAAAAAAAGTTATACTTAATTTAAAAAGATGATAGAGGAGCATGAGCGTAGTATAAGCGTAACGCTTATCTTATATATATAAAATGATTCAATTGTGTGAGTGTCATCTATACAACATCTAAATAGTCCTTAAAATAACTGATATCTTCTAAAAAAAATACAGATAATGCTCATACAGACTCATTCTTCTTCCTTCCGCCTCCGTCGAGCATTGCTCTCTGCTGTTTCTTGCTTGCACACAGCGCCTCAAATGGCGAAGTGGCACGCTGTCTGCCAAAACAATTTCCAAGTGGTAACTTGTTTGTTACTTACGTGGCAATAAAAATGATTCTGATTCTGATTCTATTATTAAGTTTTGTGGCCATATACATAGTTCCCACAGACCAATGAATGTCACATGACCTCCTCGGAGACGCCATCTTTGATGGCACGCTGCTGTGTTTGTGCATTCCATTAAACAGAAGAATGAGAATAAATGTAGATATTCAAACGCAAATTGGAAAAAAAGGGCAACTTTTGAGCAAATAATTGTATATTAATACAATGGCACCACAGTTTAACGTGCTACGGACATGTTTTACATATTTGATCAAATTATGCAGCAAAAATTAACAAGCAATGCAAACATTTCTCAAAAACTTTAGATTTAATACCAGTTGGAGCTCCATTTAATTATTTTAATTATATTAACAATTAATTTAATTAATGCTAATGCCACACGGACACTCTGGATTGCTGTTATTGTTTATTTCCGCGTTTTTGACCGTATGTTTTGGTGAATGGTGGGCAACTGATTTTTCCAGGCGTAAAGAGCAGTTTATTTTATGACACAGATCTTTTTACAGAAGCAATGCTGTTTGTGAACATTGTTTTAGCCCACCATAGAACTATTATTATCTATTTAATACATTTACGTTGCCCTCGAGAGCCTCGGACGCGACACCGATCCTCCTCATAATAAAGTAATCTAAATAATGAAACTCTCAAGTTACCAGCTATCAGCATACACAAGTTAGTACTGAGTAAATTACGTCTGTCAACACATTATAAGATACGATACACACCTGACACAAAGTGCTCCGAGCATATTCTTGCGTGTTTTGAGGGAGTTTCTTGCCTGTTTATCTTCGCAAGCCATAACCTCCGTGGTTGTTCTGACAAAAGCTTAGTCTTCTCACATTCATGAAGTCTAATGATGGGTATACTGTAAAATCCAAGTTTAACGGAACCTCCGGCACGATTTGAACATCCATTGACCCAGCAGGAGATGACCATTTTCAACTTTATCACGACATTAACACGTTTCAGCTTCTTTTTCTATTGTTTTGCCCACAGCATGCCAAGACAAATGGCGCCGGGTCGGCAAATCCCCGTATGTAGTGACGTCATGTGGGAACTATGTATACTTGCATGCTAAAGCCAGATCCCATCATACCTCTGAAGCTATGCAGGACGAGGTCTGGTGTGTGTGTGCATGCGTGCGTGCGTGCGTGTGTGTGTGAATGGTTGGTGGTGGTCAGAGGGGCCTATGGCAGATACTGGTTGCCTTGCATCTGTCAGTGTGTCCCAGAGTAGCTGCGGCTACGTTAGTAGTTTATCACCAGCTGCATATGGAGTGAAAGAATAATGACACGTGAGTATCCAAAAAAAAGAGCTACAAAAAACCAATGGATTATTATTATTCGTGATTATATACAATTATTAAAATTGTAATATTTCTATTTTAAATTTTGTTCCTTTAATTATGCCTTATTCTATTCTCTATTCTTTACCTCTCTTTTCTGACTGATGCACTGAGCCAAAGCAATTTCCAAGTCTGTGACTTCCTGTTACTTACGTCGCAATAAAAATGATTCTGATTCTGATTTTGATTATTATTATTAATCATTTGTAAACTGGGGGGCCACAAACGCCCTGGTTCATGTTTTTCTATGGCCTGCGGAGTCTTTCCGTCTGTATGTTATTGTGGCAAGTAGATGTCGGTTTTGATTGGTTTTGCTTGTCCTACTTTTGCTGATTTCAATACCTTTTCTAAGATAAACAGCAGAAAAACATTATTTCCAGGTTGAAATAGCTGAGTGTGTGGCAGAGTATACCTCGGGTCAATATCGTTAACTGGGCCGATGCCGAAACTGCCCCCAGTTTGTTGCGCGCCACGCATTGATAGGTCCCTGCATCCTCAAGTCCCGCCCCCTCGATCTGCAGCCAACTGGAGAGCTCGAACTTTAGAGGCCCGCCCCTGGACTGGAACACAGGATACAGAATCACAAGAATAGATTAAACACGCTGATATGAGAGAGCTTAAACATTCATATATACATTCGAGACAATGAGGCTTATAATACTCATATTTGATCTGATCTGAAAAAGGCTGTTTGTTTTTTTGTTCAAGTACACGGATTAAGGATATTATTTTAGATTTCCTGAATTGTATTTTATCATATTTGGTTCAAAAATGAACACTGACGAAACAGTTCTTATTCTATCTGGTGCAAACATTTTCCTCTGAAAATTAGTGTCTGTAGTGTTCCAGAATAAAATAGATAATCAAATACTAAAAGATGGGCTCCAAAAGCAGGCTGAAGCGTTTTAGGGGCACATGATATCAATTTTGATTTACCACATGTGCAGATGCTTAGAGGAAATATGATTTAGGCAAAAGTCAAAATTAGGGGAAAAATGCAAGCCTCGTTTCCTGGTTCGATTGTTACGTTTTATGGTACTTCAGCCAACAAATCCTCTCATCCTTTTTAATATGGCAATTGAGTTTATGTAAGTACAGTAAGTCAGGAAGTTATTATTTTTATTACTTAGTTAGGCTGTACTATATGTAACTTTTTCAATTGAACGTCTGAAACTCGCTTGGAATGTTCCATAGTCTGTATATATCAATATATTATTGTCACTTAGACACCAGAATGGCAATGATGATGGTGGTATTTTATTTAACTTTTTGCATGTGAGACGTCAGATTTAGTAGAGGACTTATTGTAAAACTAAATTGTGTAAGAACTTTTAGTCTGTTCACTTTTTTTCGGCACAAAAAATGCGAACCACTATTTAAGTGTTCGCTTGTGAACACAATCTGGGGGAAAGAAATACATGATACATAGAGATTTTGATGGAGAGCGTTTTATCCTTTTTTAGTTCAAAGTAATCAATAGAGCCACATTTGATCAAGCAATAATTTACTTCATATTACAGCCACCTTTAAAAACAATAACAGATTATACTACCCCTTCATCTAAATACAGTAAATGCGTTTCTTTCCTTACTTAGGACTAGGAAGGAGGTATTTTTAGCGATTCTCCAATAGATGGGGGGACGTCCGAAACACTGACCTGCACAGAGAGGTGCGGGTCATCCCCAGGCAGCGCCCCCTCATGGCCGTCCCTTCTCCACTCTATGGTTGCTGCAGGAAACGCATACACTTCACACAGAAACAGGAGCAGGGAGCCTGAGGAGTTCACCTGAGGCTGTGGAGCCACCTTTATAATGGGGACTGAAGGAGAGACTTGTTTAGTCCTCACAAACAGCTTATACAGAGCATGGTTTTGACTTAGTTTGGTGGTACATAGAAGACATATATTAGTTTTGCATCAATAGAGTGATAGAGCTGATTGATTTTATAGCTGGTGTACCTAACACCTAAACCCCAAAGACTGAACAATATAATACAATCCATCTAAGTTTCTCGCTCTCAAAACAGTTTTCACATGGATGTATTTTTGGCCTCTGTCACAACATTAGATCAGCCTTTTCAGACAGAAAAGTAAAAGAGAGAAGACCACCCTCTCTTAGCCAATCAGTTCCCAGACCAAAGTGTCAAATAGTGATGATAATAAGACAGGATGGTATGGTCTGGTTTGTTCACAATAGTTTACTTTTACGTGACTTTTTTTTTTTCCGAAATATAAAACAATAAAAATATGCAGGAAGTAATACCAAGCAATAACAAGCCCCCCCCCTGCCCATCTGTCATAAAAACGAGACTCCAAAGACACTGACTTTTGTGCATTTTCAAACATGAATTCAACAAAAAAAGGTGTCGTCTCATATTTACATTCTACATTAGACGAGCTTTAGCCCCATGCTTACTTAGTAGTCGCCATGGTAACTACCGTACCTGGGCGGCACGGTGGCTGAGTGGATAGCACTCTCGCCTCTCAGCAAGAAGGTCCTGGGTTCGAATCCCGGTTGGACCGGGGCCTTTCTGAGTCGAGTTTGCATGTTCTCCCCGTGTCTGCGTAGGTTTCCTCCGGGTGCTCCGGTTTCCCCTACCACTAAAAATATGTGCAATAGGTCTGGCATGTGCCTCCTGTACTGGCCCCCCCATTCCCAAAAATAACAATTGTAAACTGCTTTGAGACTCCGATGTGCAGTGAAAAGGCGGTATATAAATAAAGATTACTTACTAATTACTTACCTCTACTGCTGTCACATCTACCTATTCAACTGTTAGAGATGGACAGATTTCATGTCTTTATTTTATTTCAGCATGTATCATTTGGGAGAAACACATTGTTAGGGCGACAATAGCTCAGTTGGTAGAGCATTGGCCTTTGGGCCTGAAGGTCGTGGGTTCAAGCCCACCATAAGACCTACTTACGACTCCCACTGATGACTGCTGTCGTTGTGTCCTTGGGCAAGACACTTAACCCCACTTTGCCTGAAGCTCCCACTGAAAGATCTCAGCTCCTGTGGACTCACCACCTGCAGGAGGATCAGTGAGGGGCTGGTGCTAAGTGTACTGGGTACACTTAGCACTTACAAAGGGGAAGAAAATGGATGGATGGATGGATGGGGGCCGCCAATAGTCTAGAGCCCCTGGTTTCCTAACATCTATGTAAACATAGTGAATCAAGTATAGTCCAGGCATTGAACCTAATCTAAACCCAATCTAAACTAGGTCTTTGCAGGCCTTGGCATGGTCATGTGGGCTCAAACACAGAGGCATTGTGGGGGTTCAGCACACCACACCCTTTCACCTTCCGCATCATGTGCAGACCAAACCATGGGCCACCCTCCAGACACAGCTCTGTTCATAGAGTCACAAACACAAGGAAGTAGAGGCGACCGCGTCTCAAAATACCTCCCCACCTCATGCACGGCCCTTTGAGGGAATAATGAGCCAAACTGTGCAGAGGGATTAGCAAGGCTGGACCATATTATTGTCTAATGGTTTAGTCACAGAGCCTGACTGTTGAAACTACACCGGCTCTATATGCGCTGTTATGGTTCTAATGCACAAGATGAATAACGTGGAAAAGGGTTTTGACACAATTTTTCTAATTTCACTTCAAAGCTTTGTCTTTTCATTTTTTGCTCTAATACTACATGTAAATACACTTTATAAAGCTTTTAACCAGGCTGTAATTATGTTTCTTATATCACGTTGTAATGACAGAAAGGACTGTCACCTATATCTCCTATACAGTAGGTGAAGAAATCAGAGTAAAGCCGCTGATGGAGAGGCTTTCAAACTGTATCGAGTCCTGTCGAGTCCTGTCGATTTGTGTCGAGTCGTGACGAGTCGTGTCGAGTCGTGACGAGCCGGTGGACACATAGCTTGGTTGGAAAGGGAAATCTGAGCGTCTGCCAAGACTGCTTCCTCCCTTGACCCAGCAGCGGATAAAGCAGTAGAAAATGTATGAATGACTGGACAAACACACCCATTATTTATCCTAATTGTGATTTTTTTCTGTAATGGTAGTTGCAAATTGGTTGCATGGTTCTATAGGAGGTCCCAGTCTGAAAATTGTAGGACCCCTGAGTTAGATTGTTAAAACGGTGCCATAGCTAAATATCAGAAGGTGACTGTTACACCTACAATACATGGTCTGTCTATGATGCATGGGAGTCCACAGACATGTAGACCTGGTTCAGACCTTCTCCAGTTCCGGTCCAAACTTAGTCCAGACTGGGAGGAAGCCCTGCATATTTTTTCAGCTGACGCTTCTCCTTCTCACTTTTACGGACGTTTTTAGAGGCATTTCCTGCAGCAAAGCCTGATGGGAATGAGGCCCAGCTGGAGAACCATTAAAACCTGCTCCTCCATCAAATCCAGGCCTGGTTTACAGAGTCCAGAGGAGGCCGACTCAACTCTGTGAAGCCTAATGCAAAGCAGATAGGATGCTTTATCAAATACACAGTCTGTTGTGTTTGAAGTGGGCCATTGGCTATTTCAGAGGTTCCGTTAGGAGTGGAAGCAAGATTTATAGCCATGGAGGTATTTTGAGTGTGCACCGGGGTGTCTCCGTGGTAAAGGCATGCATTTAGTTGAAAAGGTTAAGAGTGGGTATAAAATTAGGTTTACGATCACTGAGGATGCCACATAGGGAGGCTTACTCTACTTTGCATTTTTAACTATACTTTTAACAGGACAATTTTCTTTGAAATTTCACTTTTAGAATGTGAAATAATTTCCAAACTATGGCTAAACATAGGGAAGTTTGTCCTCTGCTTTTGACCCATCCTGAAATGCAGATAGGACCTCTCTCCGGAGCAGTGGGACTCCTCTCCAAATGTTGATGCTCTTGGTCAAGACCAGAGCTGGAGGATTTTGCCTAATGTATTGTACATTGTTTTTTTTGTGGTAGGGGAAACCGGAGCACCCAGAGGAAACCTATATAGACATGGGGAGAACATGCAAATTCCACTCAGCCACCGTGCCATCCCAATGTAAATATGTAAAGAATCAAACATATCCCAGTATGTAGTTCTCCATCAACATCAAACATAGCATAAGGCAAACACAGTTGCACGGTTGTAAAGATTGTCATTTCACCAGAGAAATTCCCAAAACTAGTATGGATCTAATTAAATAAATGAATAAATAAAAAATATAAAATAAAATAAAGATAGTCTTTGTCTGCTTCATTCCTGACAGTGGGTAAGAATTCATTCAAGTCTCCCTTTGATATGTATTCACAAACAGGAATACTTTGGAAAATTGACAGAAAAGTTTACAGTTTGTCACCTGATTTGCAGGGGCCTTTGCCTTTGACCTTGAGCAGAGGGTTGAAGAAGAGTGCCTCCCTGAACTCGCACCTAAAACTCAGCAGAAGAGTCCAAACAATCACATTCTGTTGCACTGTGAGTTTACATCTTACCTGTTCAGTCATAGTTTGATTCGGAAAATACAATAGAATATATTGAAATGATTGATTGAATGATTGAGAGATATCTTTTTTTTGTCAAATCTAATTAAACAGTGAGTGTTTAGTGGAATGTCGAGCCACCTGCATGTCCTTGGGCATGATACTCACATCTCAGCAAAAGCGTGTTTTTCCAAAGCCTGGGAGCAACGCTCCAGAAGGATCGGTCTCCTGTTTGGAGCCATCAGTCGGTTCTGGCCACAGTGAGCTGGATCAGATCACTGATGTGGGGATTCATGTATGAGCGACCTCCAATCAGTACAGAATCCTTTCACAAATCCATGTGGAAGGTGGAGGAAGCAGATCTAGCTGCTGCTAATCTGTCATAACAGATATTTTCTACACACATTATTTCAAGTTGTGTAATGTGAAATTCCAAGGGTTCACTATCATGTTTAATGCGAGTGATCCCGAACCCAGCCAGATATGTTAAAATTAACACCAAGCACCTCTGAACTTATTCTATTGAAACCAATACGAGTCCATCATGGGTTCATCTCTCAGCTCGTATCTATGGCCTTTGCTTGGGTAAGTGAGTGGGGTCTGACCATACATAACAAACTTAAGTAATATAAATAACAGTAAATTAAAACTAACCTGCTTCTGTAGGTGTTTCCATTACTGGCACACAGTGCCTCTTGCTGATCACAAACACATATCAGCTCATCCTGGTCCTCTACTGAGCGCGCTCCTGGCCGAGGGTCCACTGTGCACCTGCGTTCCACAACACACAGGTTCTCCCACAGGTGAACAATTGTTTGACCTGTCAGCAATTACTGATAAAGTCCAACTCCAATTCTTAAGTTGTTTGTTAAGAGAAAATATTTAGCAAAAAAAAGGTCTATGACGTCTCTATATAACAATAAATAAACTAATCTAGCTCAGTAACCGTTCGTGTTCTCACCATTATGGGCTTTTAATTATCTTGTTTTTTTTGTTGTCCAATATTGTCTTTGTAAATCCAGGCATGACCCATAATAATGAGCCAATACGATTCCTTCATTTGCAGGGGGACACTGGAGCTTGCCTTAGAAACCATGTTAGCAACAGATTAGTTTGCATTTGCCCCTACTACTGCCGTAAGTCACCCTAACAAATGCCGTCTACTATGGTCTATGGGTGGGGCCGTGGGGGATACCCGTAACCACATCCCAGGGAGGCATCATATAGTTTTTTTCTCACCTCATGCCGGTGCCACAGAGTCCGTGCAGCCGTGGTGTTGGCCCCGGGTCACAGCTTTGTCCCAGGACGTTCCCACACTCCTCACAGCAGCCACACAGGCCCCGTACCAGCCCAGCTCTGCAGCCCACCGCAGGGCCGCACTGAGAGGGATCACAAGGGGGGCACCCGGGGGACGCAAGCACCTGGGGGTCTGCACTGTCCACTGGCTTGGGCTCCAAAACCACAGGCCCTGAAGAGGGTCCAGGCGTGGAGTTTGGAAAAGTCCAGGCCAAGTGTAGAGCACAGAGCAGGGCACAGACGGCAGGCTGCATGATGACCAGGGGGCTCCAGGTCGGGGCCCCAAGCACAAACTCTCAGAGGGGCCTGTGAGCAGGTTATTGAACAAAATCAATTCTTCTGTTGTAGTTTCTATTTAAGCATTATAAATAAAAAATAAACCAGGGGCCGTATTCCTAAAGATTCTTACTGCTAAGAGTTTCTCCTTACGGCCAAATTCTAAGAATATTCTTAGAATCTTTACGTGCAATTAGAATTTCCCCTAAAAGTGAGGAGTAGATCTTAAGAAAAAAGCTATTCCTAAAGAATCCTAGCTCTCAAGAGTGCTTCTAAGGTGAGATCTCTTAAGAGTAGAGAGGAGGACTTTTAGCGAGTTCCCTAAGAGGAAAAAATGGTGGTCGGAAGAAGCAGGAGAGATATTCTACAAACACTGGATGACAATGGGACCAAATGTACCTCTCAAAACACTTTTATGCTCTTGACCAAATGAGCCAGAAGCAAACACTTTTCCTCTGTCCTATCCATCTATATACAGTATCTATCTATCTATCTATCTATCTATCTATCTATCTATCTATCTATCTATCTATCTATCTATCTATCTATCTACCTATCTGTTTTATGCGGAAAATCATTTACAATGGCACAGTCTTCCTAAGATTTGAGTCCATGATTGAGTTTGTCCATTTTAGGGTCCTTATTTTGAAAGTATGTTTTCTCTAACTTTTAGGGTCAACCAATCACAGCGTCTGAAAAGATGAATCATACTTCGCAACGGGTCGGCCACACCTTCTCACTAAGATACGAGTTTTTGTCCATTCCTTGCTCAGAGTTCTCCAAGAATGTTATGGAATAACTTTTAAGCCAAGACTCCTAGCTAGGAGTTTTTAGGTTAAGTTAGGAGCTCTCTGAGAGGACTCTCAGAATCTTTGGGCATACGGCCCCAGATTATTACGGAACATAATTATCATTATTACCAAATGCGCATTATTCCATAATTACCATTGTGATGGGACACAAGTGGGGGCGTTTTGTTATATTTATGCACAAGGGCGTAGGTTTGCGTGGGGACCATGGGGACATGTCCCCACCAATATTTGGTGAGGACTAAAGTCCCCACCAAAATGACATGATGTCCCGTGACCCGGACGGTCCGGGACACATGTCTTCCGTTTGTGCATACGTCGCGCCTCCTCCTCGCCTCCAGAGCAACAGCAGCAGCACGTGACCCGTTCCGTTCTCTGCAGTGATTGGCTGTCTTCTTCAGCGCCAAACTGAAGCACTGAGCGACTGTTTAATTTTTAAAAGTTAGCCAGCGTGAAGCAAGTGTTTTTTTTCGTTCCCTGAGCGTTGTAGCACGTGAGTAATCAGAGGAAAGTACTGTAGATCTATTACCATTCAAAGTACTTACGTTATTTCTAATCTGTCAGCGCACTGTTTAATGTTCCGAGGAGCTCACACGGCACAGAGACAGAACAGAACTGGCTCCAATAAAGAAACAGGTTGGTTGAAAGGCTGAAAAAATACTTATTGTGCTCTTACTATCCAAAATGTATAAGTGGGTGTGTTGTGTGAATCAGGATAAACTAGGGATGAAAATATTCCACGGATCCACGATTTACAACCTTTATCTGCTGATAATGTAATTTCTGTGAAATGTGTGACAGCGGGCACTTGCTGTTATTTGCTCTAAGCACATTCAAGAGATGCACTCGAATGTGCACGTCCTGGTGCAGCTGCTGCCGCTTTGTAATGACAGCCGCGGCGCTCAGTGAAAGCACAGCTCTAACATGGTACCGAGCTCGGACCATATGCAGACAGAACCATGTTGCAAACAGTGCGGGGCTCCCTCGTATCTTCCCCGTTTCTCCCCTGTGTCTCTGACATGTCTCTCCCCTGACTCTTCCCAAAGCGCAACCAGCGCTCCCAAAATTAAAGCTCGGATACCTAAATTTTCCATTGCGTTAACGATGCATGCTGGTTGTGCGCAAAACACACCACAACAGGTCATTTAAGTTTTTACTTTGCATACTTGAGAGCCCTGTGAGTCATTACTTGCCTTTTTGGGTTGAGAGTGGAATAAAAAAAGAAAATATAGAAAAATCCACACTGTTACTTATTGCCAAACTCTTGTTAACTCATTGTATTGAGAAATACTACGTAACTTTTGACATTGGCCAAGTTATATAAATAATTCTGCAGTTCATGTATATGAATGTCTGTTTTTGATTGTCTATACCTTCTTATATAATTTAGAAAAAATGCCACCTCCACAAAAAAAGATAAAAGATATCAAGAGCTTTTTTAACAGTTGGAAAGTAAGTGAAAGCACAAGTAATAGCAAATTATGAATTGTGATGATTAATCTTCTGTTAACATACATAGGAAACTCAACCAACAAGAGAGAACAATATAGGGAATGTTGAGGTAGAAGCAACAGGCCCTTCAGTGCATCAGGCGAGGTTGGAATTTTGTAGGTATGCATGGGACTATGAATTGTTTTTAGAGATTGATCGTATATGTCAAACAATGTAGTGAGCTACTCACTGTAGATTCTAATTCAATATTTTCTCCTCTGTTTTTATTTATTATAGGCAATTGAAAGATCAGAGCATGATTTATTTCAAGTATCGAGAGCAGTTCCTGAACTGTTAGAGCCTCAGGTGAGGGCTATTATGTAGATTTGGATTAGGTTTAACTCAGTATAGAATCATACTAAAGTTAAAGAACATCATTTGGTTGGAAATTACCTATGCCAATTACAACATATTTTACTACTATAATGATGAAAAAAGTGTTGTCTGAAATATTTTACTAAATATAGGACACTCTGAGAGATATAATGGAAATTCAAGAAGGAGATAAAGACAAGGACAAGACAGGACTCCAGGTGAGGTTAGGATTAAGCAGTTATAATCTTAGACCCATCAACCAATTCTAGTGTCATGAGATATTTAGCGACTGGTGTACCATGCCTGGGTTTCATTTTATTCAATGTAGAATGTGTGTTTTTATTAATACCATAAAGGAAAGTCAGACAAACAGGGAATGTGCAGTGCTGGTATAGGATGAGGAAGTGGCTGGACCTTCAGGGCTTCAGGTGAGGTTGAAAGTATTTATTTGGTTTTGTTGGTGGTTTTATTTTGTATATGCTTAGATCTGATTTGTTTAATGTACTACATGTGTTTTATTTATTATAGGGAACTCAGGTATTCAGGGAAGATGTAGTGCAGGCAGATATCGAAGCTGGGCTTCAGGTGAGGCTGGAATTATGAAGATAAAATATGGGATATTTTAATGTTTCATAACAGTGTATTTGCTATTTAGGAGGCAGCCAATGAGAGTCACTCTCAAGAAAGTGCCAGGGACAGCATATTTGAGATAGGTTGTAAACCATATCAGCCTGATCCTGAATACAGGATATATTTACTATCTTATTTACTATAAACATTTAAGCCATCTTGTGGACAAAGTTAGAATGAACGCAACACAAAACTCAGAAGCTCTGATCCAATTGATTTTGTTTTAACCATTAGAAAAAATCCTTAACTGCTTCTCATTCAGTCTACAGCTGAGTTTAGTATAGAAGGGTTGTAGTGAATGTCCCCACCAAGATTGGAACCAAACCTACACCATTGTTTATGCATGCTGAGTGTTTTTACTGCTATGGTTTTCAATTGCTGTTATGAGTTTTATTGTTTTGCTGTGATTTCAAGCGCATGCTTTTAGACTGTTTAATTGGTTGCACTCACAACAACGCACACATCACCCCAGATGAGAACAGACCAAGACACCTGCGGGCGCAATCACAGCCAATATAATCACCTGGGGAGCGCAGCAAAAGAGAGATTGGGACCACGCAGACGGCGACGCACGGCACACGGGGAGGACTGACCAGAAGCAGCCAGCCGAGAGCACAACGGCAGAACCCGCAATCCCTCGGAGAGAACACCACGAGGTCCACTACACGACGGGGCAGAGGAAACTCTGCCTCTGACTGCGAGTATTGATCTACAACTTGTAGTGGTGTTTACACAGCCTTTCGAGTTGTCGGGATCGCGGGTGTGAGGGCGGGACACTGCTACCGTGTCTGTATCCCGCAGGTGGGGGCTGCTGTGGAGCGGATGTCGAGCGGGGACACCCCGGGAGTCGGACAATTGGCACACGGGACTACAGCAAAGGCAGGGGAAACCCTGCCTTGTCTGTAAGTTTTTAGACCACCCAGACTCTGCTTTTAGTGTTTCTTTCGGCCCGTTTTTCTGCCGTTGTATTTTGTGTTCAGGAGCAGCCAGATTAGAGGGGGCCTGCTCAAGACGTGACGCGCCGGTGTTCTGTCGAGTTGTCTGCTCGTCGAGATGATCTGGCTCAGCTGTTAATGATGTAATGCAAACCTGCGCTGCGCGTCTCACGGCAGCCAAAGCAATCCAAGATGGCGGACATGTAGTCCGCGAATTGCTTTAAACGTTAAATACGAACGAATTAAGACACGAATGTCACTTTTAATGCAATTTGAGGCGAGATGTTGATGGTTCCGCGTTGTGATATGTGGGTTTTTAGAGTAAGAGTTTCGTGTAAAGTTTGTTTTAAGCAGTCCACTGATCCTGTGAAACTACACTGCTAGTGTGCCCAAATCTGACTTGCGCATGCGCAGAAACCCGCCAGAATGGGGACAAAACTCCATCTAATTAAATATTTAGTTTGAACACCCTAATATAATCATATTAAATACAGTATGATACATGCATACAATTTAATTTATTATTTCCATTATCAACCCAACAGACCAGTCACAGGACGCGTCATGGGCCTGACGTATGCAGCAGTCAACTCAGGGACTGCGATCACACAGCAGCAGTGTAGTTTCACAGGAGCAGACTGCTTAAAACAAACTTTACACGAAACTCTTACTCTTAACTTTTAAAGCAATTCGCGGACTACATGTCCGCCATCTTGGATTGCTTCGGCTGCCGTGAGACGCGCATGCGCAGGTTTGCATTACATCATTAACAGCTGAGCCAGATCATCTCGACGGGCAGACCAACTCGACAGAACACCGGGACTTGACGGGGATTTCCCCTTTTATTAATTTTATTGTTGCACATTCTTAACAATCCGGATTTTAATATTTGTAATTAAATATTTTTTAATTGGTATTCACTGTCTTGTTTTTACTGGGCCAATTGTTCTCACTGTTTAGGGTTTTAATAATTTTATGGTAAAATATTTTATTTTATCAACCACTGGGCTACATTACATTTCTGGCGTTGCTGTACAGGATTTTATTGTGAGAACACTGTTTCTGGTAAAGACAAGATGATGATACCTGTGTATCCTGGTGCACCACGGCTGCCCAAATTTAAAGGGCCAGGTGACGACTTTAAGTATTCTGATTGGAAGGAGCAGCTAAAAGGGCTCCTGGGCAACCATGATTTACCAGAGGTACGAAAGGTGGCAATTTTGTTGGGAGCGCTTACAGGTGAGGCAAAGCGTCAAATTTTGGTGTTAGATGACGATGAGAGGGATCATACCCGAAAGATTTTTGCTTATTTGGATTCTTATATGGAGATAAAACTCCAACACCAATTTTGAGAGCACAGTTTTTTAGTTTTTTATTGTGCACCAGATGAAGGTGTACAATCATTCATTTTAAGGTTCCGTGAACTTTATTGCAGGCTGAACCAGTGCGATGGTGATAACTCCCCCTCCGACAGTGCCCTACGGGACCAATTTCTACTTGGGCTCCGAGACGGTCCACTGGCCCAAGCTCTAAAGTTGTTCGCGCGGTGCAATCCGGACCAGGACTTTACTGCTCTTCGCCAAGAAGCCCTCTTGCTGGACTCCGAATATGCCTCAACACCATCCGAGGTAGTCTGTTCAGCAGTAAACAAACAACTTGCTTCCCCTAGAACACCAAAGGAGGAAAGTTGGAAAGAGCAGTTAAAGCGAGAGATAATGGAGGATGTTAAGGTCCAAATGAAAAGCCTTGCTCGGGAAATTGTGGCAGAGTTAAAACCTGTGCTTCAACCCAACACTCCCACCTCAGCAACTCCCCGCCAACGGTGGCACAATGACCGCGATGACCGAGGTAGGCCCATCTGCCGTAACTGCAGGAGAGGGGGACATATAGCCAGGTATTGTAGAGCTGCAGCTACACAGGCCCAGGATTTAAACTAGATGTCCCTGCTACTGAGGTCCGAGCAGCAGGGCTCGTCCCCTCACCGACAGCATCCAGGGCCCCAAAAACTTTTGTAGGCCAATGTCCTACCATACAAGTGACTGCCGGAGGCATTACTTTGAAAAGGCTATTAGACACTGGCTCCCAAGTGACATTGATGTCTGAAAGTTTACTTAATGCCCACTTTACCGAAGCTAGGCTCAAAGGGGCACCCCCTTTGTTTCGTTTGAGGGCAGCTAACGGCCTTGAAATCCCATACACCGGCTTTGCCATTATGGATTTCGAAGTAGAGGGTGTCAAAGTTCCTGAGGGGGGGGTGGTAATTGTGGAAGACCGGCACTGCACACACCCACTTATTATAGGCATGTATGTGATATTGGGTTGTTGGGATGCAGTTTTTAAATGTCCCAAGACGTCACCCCTCCAGCATCTCAAAAAGCAGAAGGTGTGGAGGGATGCGTTTGCCACATGCTCCCGTATAGAGGCTGTAGCTTCTAGAGATGGCTTTCTGGGTAATGTGAGATTAGCCTCCCTAAAGAGTGTCACTGTTCCCCCAAGAAGTGAGTTGTTGGTGTGGGGGCGGGCCAAGAGTGGGCCACGTGGGGTAAACTACAGCGCCCTGGTAGAGGCTATGCCTGATGCTGGTGCCATAGGTGTCGCCAAAACACTGGTTTTGGTGAAGGGTGGTAGGCTGCCCCTCCGTGTCTGTAACCCTCATCCCTACAGCGTCTCCTTAAGTCGTTTTGAGAAACTAGGGCGGATGTCCAGTATAGAGGATGGAGATGTGCCCGGGGCTGAGGATCTCTGTCTGTCCCTGGTAGAGGAGGGTGTTGTAGAAATGTCTCTGATTAAGACAGCAGTCTCTCATCCAGGCCCAGAATTGCCCCCAGAAGTTGGAGACTTGAGCGATCACGCAGACCTAACAGCGCAACAACGGGAGCAGCTACGCATCCTACTGGCCAAGTGGGAGAAAGTGTTTGCCCAACACGAGGACGATTTTGGAAGGACCAACCTCGTGCAACACCAAATTCCAACTGGAGACGCCGCCCCGGTCAGGGAGAGATACAGGCCCATCCCACCCTCATTATACAAGGAAGTAAAGTCACTGCTTGCGGGCATGTTGGAACAGGGGGTGATCAAGGAAAGTTGCAGTCCCTGGGCTGCTCCTATAGTTCTGGTCCGCAAGAAAGATGACAATTGGCGCTTCTGCATGGACTATAGGAAGCTAAATGCGGTCACGCACAAGGATGCCTTTCCGTTACCCAGAATTGAGGAAACCCTCACTGGTCTGAGCAAATCTGAGTGGTTTTCCACCTTAGACCTTGCCAGTGGGTACTGGCAAGTTGAGATGCATCCTGACGATCGTGAAAAGACGGCATTCACCACTCCCCTTGGACTTTTTGAGTTTGAATGTATGCCGTTTGGTTTATGCAATGCACCCGCCACTTTTCAACGGCTCATGCAGAATTGTCTGAATGGCCAAATAGCAGAATCCTTATTGGTCTACCTTGATGACATAATTATTTTTTCTGCTGATTTTTCCTCCCATCTACAGCACCTGGACCAGGTGTTTGAACGGTTGCAGCGACATGGACTGAAGCTCAAGCCAACAAAGTGCAAGCTTTTTACAACGAGAAGTAACGTTCCTCATGAGGAACAGGGGACACTCGCTCAGCATGACAAAAGTTCGTTCCGTTCTCACATAAAGTTCTTTGGATTAAGGACGAAACCGTCAGGGAAAACCTGCTAAGAAGTACAGATGATGGGTGAGAAACCTTCCTTTTGCTTTGACTAATCCCTGTAACGACTGAGAGCTTACACAAACTTATGCCTGAAATAATCTTCTTGCAGGAAAAAATTTCAACACAAAAGATGAACCATCCTCATTTTAATATTAGGACTTAATTGACATTTAGACATGTTGCGGATTTCATAACACTTCTAAGCAACTTTTGTTTATAAAGTTAAACCTCATTCATTCTATCAAATGGCAGAAGCAGTACTTTTTCCCTTGTTTTGTCTATCTGAAGGCCCAAGCTACATGGCACCGTGGAAAGCTGGCTGATTTGGAAGGTCTCCATGCCTCCGGCTTCTTGTATAATTACACTTGCAATTTTCTGTTGTGTGTGTTGTTCGTGCTGTCTCTACCATCGACATAACAAACATGTCTTCTGTCTGAATGAAAAGACGCGATCCCAGACTATGTCATCTTCTACAAGACATATAAAGATTCAGCCATTCAACTTCAGGGACGTGACGGGTTTAAACAGTTGTAACACAGGTTAGTTTTATCCTATGATGTGTTGTTGACAATTGTAATTCTAAAATCAGTCTTTAATGTGTCACAGTCATAAATTACATTATTTAAGATTATTTGTATCAAAATATAAAATGCACAGACGGCCTCTGGTGAAGATCTGTCATGTTCTCTCAAACACAAAAACGTAATCCTAACGCATTCAACTTCCTTACAATTCATGTTGTTTTAAAGGATTGCTACCATTTGCATGAATTCAGAATGTACAAATTAATTCAAAGGATTAGTCATTTGATTGGAGACTTCATTTTGTATACAGTTGTGCCTATGGCTGGATGCTGCAGTCACATCTGATGCCATCTATTCTCATTATATCCAGCCAGCGCTGGCCTATTCTGCTGTAGCATCCCTCCCCTGTCACAAATGAGACGTGGCAGGAAATAGGTATTGGTACAAATACAAACATGTGAGGATTTTAGTTCTGCTTGCAGCTAGCAGAACACAAATCATTAATATATTTTAGTTTTGTTTGGTGACCCGGAGCAGGTCTTGGAATATAGGTTGTACATTTTGGATGACACCAAACCCGTCGTAGTGTCTTGCAATCGTGTGACAGAACTGATTGGATATGTGCACCACCAACAGAGGCTGTCCCAGGTAGTGAGCATGCGTCTTAGGGGTCCAGGATTGGGGCATACCTTATTACTGACATGACACATACTCTACCATCACTGCTGATTGGGCGTCCCACACGCACGGCCAAAATTTAGCCGAGCAATGTTGCAAGTTCATATAACATGAAGTATACACTCAGTGGCCACTTTATTAGGTACACCTATCCAACTCCACTTTAACTAACTCTAACTCCACTAAAATTCCTAATCAGCCAATTACATGGCAGCACCTCAATTGTTGATGTCAGGGGTGAATGGCCAGACTGGTTCGAGCTGATAGAAGTAACTCAAATAAAGTACTTGTTACAAAACAAGATATAGCAGCAGCAGAAGACCACACTCTGGTGCCACTCCTGTCAGCTAAAAACAGGAAACTGAGGCTACAATTTTTATAGGCTCACCAAAATTGAAAAAAACTGGTTTGATGAGTCTCGATTTTAGCTGCGACATCAGATGGCAGGATCAACAAATTTGGAGTCAAACAGCATGAAGTTCAGGATCCATCCTGTCTAGTAGCAACGGTTCAGGTGGTGGTGGGGGTGTAATGGTGTGGGGGTAATTTTCTTGGCACTCTTTGAGTCCCTTATCACCAAAATTTCGTGTGGAGCCCCCCTCGTTTGCAGGCCACACCCACCTGAGTATTGTTGCTGACATGTTCCATCCCTTCATGACCACAGTGTACAAATCTTTCTGATGGCTTACTTACAGCCAGGATAACACAGTTGTCATTAAAGCTCAATCATCACAGACTGCGTTCTTGAACATGACAATAAGGTCACTGTACTGTAATGGCCTCCACAGTCACCAGATCTCAATCCAAGAGAGAAACTTCGGGATGCAATGGAATTATTAATTACCTAGTGTAACTGCAGATCTACGAATAAGTGCGTAGCCCCTTAGGCCGCTATGGGTAACTCCGGAAGCTCCCAGCTTCCCGCCAGAGAGAACTCAACGCTCCAATCACTGTGCCAGTACCTCCCCTATCAAATGCCCCTCAGCTGCCCGTGCCAACCACTTTGAACTCGCCAAAGCCAGGCTGGCTTGATGGGCTCGTAGCTAAGGGGCTACGCACTTATTCGTAGAACTACAGTTGTCCTAGGTAACTAATAATTCTATACGTCATAGTGCTCCGCCCCTTAGGCCGCTATGGGAATCAAGCGTAGCTAAGCGGATGTACTCCCATCAGGCCTTAGCTTACAGTGATTGGAGCGTGTCGAGAACTCTCAACATCCAAAGTGTGAGGACTCAGGACAGGAATGAAGCAAGCAGTGACAAGGCGCCTCCTATCAAGGACGAAGCCCTTATTCTAGGACAAGGACACACGAAGGAAGGAGATGTCTGATGGCTGGCCACACCGGGATGTCGGGAGTAGCGCCAGTTCCCGCGTCCTCCACATCGGGACCCGACTGGCCAGGACCAGTCCCGGACCGAGCAGTACGCGCCGTACCCCAAGGAAGGGCCTCTTGGGCTGCAGGGGTTGGCCCCAATGCGTGTCGCGTAATGAAACACAGTTGGTACATGCTCTTCCTCCTGCCGTAAAGAAGCAAAAAAAACCCCCACCGACGTGAAGTCATATCTCGCCTGGGTGGGCTGCGGAGGAGGGGGTCTCCATGATGCCCGCTGGAGGGACAGCCTCATCGAGAGTGACGAAGGAACCCTGGTTCTCGTCAAACTCGTCCTCCACGACACAATCTCCCACTCCCTGGGTGCGGGAGGGCGGTGTGCGGGACTATTCAACTTAGGTTCTTCCTACTGGGAAGAACCCGGGCGGGCCTCCGCGGAGCTGGCAAGAGGCGAGACGGCGCTCTCTCTCCTTCCCTCGGAGAGAAAGGCACGCTGCACAATCAGGCCACTTCCCGGTGGTGGTGAGTTCCGGGCAGAGGAAGCACAGGTCCTGGCGGTCCTTGTGGTGGAGCTTGGCTCGGCAACCACCGCCACGTTTTGTCCGACGCCGGAGGCGAAGGGGGTTTCTCGGACGAGGAGACCCACATTGAATCTTCGTACTTGCTGGTAAGTAGATCTCTCAATGGCGTCCTCCAAACTTGTCTTGTCATTTTCACTTCAGAGTGGGAACATGCACTACATCTACTTGTATTTACAGTACAGTGTGAACACTAGAGACTTATCCATTTTCATTGTTTGCACTTGGCAGATAAGACATAAAATCCACTTCTGTTAGTCCCTATGTGAGGAGGGATATTGTAAATTAACCCAATAGCTAGGTTTTATTCGACACGAATATATTGAACTTATGTTGGGAGCTACCAACAGGTTGGGTGTCACAAACCCACTTTACATTTGTTGTGGACATACTTCCTCTCACTCCACATGAGATGCGTGCCCGGGGCGCCATAAAGGGGGGGGGCCCCCTTTTTTGTGGTTTTTTGGGGGGGGGAGGCGCATGCCAGACTATTGTACATGTTTTAATCCAGGGTGTACTATGACAGGCAGCTCTCCCTAAATTGTCCCTTGCAAGCTGATTCAGTGCACGCGCCTTAAGAACGTAAAATACAGCAGGTTAAACTACAATATTTGTTGACAAACAATAATTCTATATTCATGTTTTACCTTCTTATTCTTGTTATTAAGGTGATAATGACGGAACTTCCACCTTTCAAAAAAGGAATTATCCATGGGGCTACTCAGCCCTCTGTCTTTCATTCTAGCTTTATATCGACCCTCTACTGTTACTTCAATGTAATGATCTTGCACTAGTTTCTCAAACTGATTTTATTGGTTTCACAGTAACTGTTTCTTGTACTTTTTAGTCTGTTTCATTTCTGTAGCATGGGCAAACAGAACAATCTTTATGGGTTTGAATATTAAGTAAGTCAAAAAAAAAAAAAAAAAAAAAAATCTTAATTTTACCAGTGCCTTGCAAAAAGTATTCGGCCCCTTGAACCTTTGCCAATTTCAGGTTCAAACATAAGATATTAAAATTTTAATTTTTTGTCCGAATCAACAACAAGTGGGACACAATCACGAAGTGGAATGAAATTGTTGGATAATTTAAACTTTTTTTAACAAATAAAAAAACTGAAAAGTGGGGCGTGCAATATTATTCGGGCCCCTTTACTTTCAGTGCAGTAAACTCAGTCAGAAGTTAGTGAGGATCTTTGAATGATCCAATGTTGTCCTAAATGGTGATGATGATAATAGAATGCACCTGTGTGTGAATCAAACGTCTCCGTATAATGCACCAGCTCTGATGATAGGTCTCAGGGTTCTGTTTAAAGCGCAGAGATAACCATGGAAGACAAAGGAAACACACAGGCAGGTCCGAGATACTGTTTGGGAGAAAGTTTTAAAGTGGATTTGGATACCAAAATATTTCCAAGCTTTAAAACATCTCAAGGAGCATGTTGGCAAGCATTATATGATAATGGATGAGTATCAGAACACTCAAATCTACCAAGACCCGGCCGGCCCTCCAAACTTTCATCACAAACAAGGAAAGGGACTGTTCAGAGATGCCAGCCAAGAGGCCCATGAGTCATCTGGCATGAACTGCAGATAACTACAGCTGAGGTGGAGATGTCTGTCCATGGGACAAACAATCAGTCGTCCAGACATCACTTTAAGGGTTAAAAATTCTCGTATTCTCATTGATTTCAATGGGAGTATTCACACTGTGGAAGGTTCTTGCACAAGCTACCTCCTTTATATTTTGATTGAAAGAAATCTATATGTTGTTATAGTTATTTTTTTTTGTTTATTTTTTTTTGGGCAATTGTCCTCTCATCCACACAGCGGGGTCGCCGAACAGGAGGCACATTGCCAGAAACTATTTGTACATATTTTAGTGGTAGGGGAAACCGGGGTCCTCGGAGGAACCTACGCAGACCCGGGGACATGCAAATTCCATCAGAAAGGCCCTGGTCCCCCCCCCCCCCCCCCCCCCCCCCCCCCCCCCCCCCCCCCCCCCCCCCCCCCCCCCCTTCCCTTCCCTCCCTCCTCCTCCCCCCCTCCCCCCCCCCCCCCCCCCCCCCCCCCCCCCCTCCCCCCCCCCTCCCCCCCTCCCCCCCCCCCCCCCCCCCCTTCCCCCCCCGCACCCCCCCCCCCCCCTCCAGACCGGGATTTGAACCGTGCGCCCAATTGACCCTGACTTGGTTCATATGGCACTAACATGTCACTTGATGTTACTTTGGTCCGGAGACTTGGAGGAGACTTGTACAAAACAGAAGCGGTTTTTAAAGTCTATTTCTGAGCCACAGGAACCAGTGCAGAGAATGGACTAATGTGGTCGTACTCCTGGTTCTCGTCAGAACTCGAGCTGCTGCGTTTTGAATGACTGCAGATGTTATACAGCATTTTTAGGGAGGACCAGTTTGCAGGGTTTTACAGGGGTTGAACCTATTGGAGACAAACTGCATGGCTAGGGAATCTTTTTTTACTTTGTCGATGTTCTTAGATGGTAAAAAGCTGTTGATGCATACTTTGTCTTGTCACCTCTTATCTGCAACATCCAGAGCCAATGTTTGGTTGAACCACAATCATTGACGGTCATGCGTGATTAGGACCATTATTGCATTTAATCGCTGTATAAAGCCTTGGAGTTTTTTGGCCGGTAAATCACATGAAAAAAAAAAAAGGTTTAACTTCTTTCATATAAATTATCTGAATTGGCTTGCTTCTTGTACCCAAAGCAAAGTGGTCAACAGAATCTACAGACAAACCACAAAAGAAAACTCTCTGTAATTTCAACCATTTTAGCAAGTTCCACTCAGCAGCCTATTTTGAAGCTCTGAAGCAG